CTGTCTTGGTTGAGTTTTACATTAATGTAGTTCCATCTGTGGTAATGGTTGTTACAGGATAAGGACTTATTAGCTACTATTTTTTAGTAGCCAACAATTAGAGACAGTGAGCTCAAAGGGAAAGATGCAATTTCCCCGTGAGCCAGCCAATTACGACGAGGTTTCTATGCAGCAAAGTATGTTTTTTTCTGATAGTTTGAAGGTATTCTTATGGCCCCTTGTTGCACTTGTATGTGTGAATTTTGTTTCCCTTAATATGTTCATTTTCTTTTTGTTCATTTCATTTAAAATCTCAATCAATTAATATTGTTACAGGCAAACGTTCAATGAATTAGCAATGGAGATGGTGAAATTTAAAAAAAAAAAATTATACATGTGTAAAGAAAATTGAATATTGAAGGCAGATGTTGGACTGGAATTATGGTGATTAAAGAAAATTTCTTTAGTTCAATTTGGTGGTGCATAAGTGCATTGTACATATTGTTCTGGCTCCTTTTCGGTTTGAAGAAAGGGAAAAGAGACAGCAAAAGAATTTCGATTGTGAAAACAGAAAAGATAGAAAGTAATAATGAACTTAAAACAAATTACCAGTGTCTGTTGCAACTTCATTTAATCTAAGCTTTGCAAGTGTACATCGGTTTTGTGAGCCTTATGTGCAACCGACTTGATTTATTTATATTTTTTTATTTTTTTTATTCTGTAGGACTTGAAAAATCTTAGGAAACAGCTCTACTCAGCTGCCGAGTACTTTGAGTTGTCTTACAGTAATGATGACCAACAGCATGTGTGAGTTTCTTTATGAATTTAAAATTTGTGGGAAATTATTATTATTATTATTATTATTATTATTATTATTATTTTTCTCTTTAATATATTTCCATTTCACTTTTTGGATTTGCAGAATGGTGAACACATTGAAAGATTATGCTATTAAAGCTCTTGTTAATACAGTTGACCATTTGGGTTCTGTCACTTATAAAGTCAACGACATGTTAGATGAGAAGGTTGATGAAGTTTCGATAACCGAGCTTCGAGTGTCTTGCATCCAGCAGGTACATTTATGTCTTCATTTTTCTTCACTTGTTTATCTAATTGATTGAAATTTAATCCTTAATCATCATTAATTTATAATTATAGCCCAATGTAACGCGTACTATGAAGTTGCAAATCCTTAAATTTAGGCTTTTTGTGTTTTTCATTTCCCTAATCGAGCAATCGTGAAGTTAATTTAAACTGAATTCGAAATTTAAAATTTGCCACTCGAAAGAACCCATCTGACTCAAGTTTGGCCTAGTTTCAAGGAGATAAAATCATAAGTTTCTACCCAGATAACTAACTGTGAAATTTCACTTACAAGCATGTCCAATTTATTGTACTGAATTATTTATTTATTTATTTAATGCTGTAATTTAGAGACTGCGAACGTGCCAAGAGTATGTCGATCGCGAAGGTCTCTCTCAGCAGTTATTGGTGATAAACACTCCACATTACCACAAACGATACATCTTGCCAAGTATAGTTTCCGATTTTTCATTTTTTATTTTTTATTCTATTTTTCATTAATAATACCAATACATGTGATTACCTAGAGATTCATATGAGTTTAATTTTATTTTTATTTTTTATTTTTGTCTAGTTGGAGAAACTATGCATGGGGCTGTTCGCACAAAATCAAGATACCGGGGGTGCAGCTTAGACGATGGAGACGAGTGGCATCAATTCAAGAACTGTAATTCATCAAATATCAATTTTTTTTTTCCCTATTTTTCTTTATTTATTGCATTTATCTAGGCTTTGAAGTTGTGCATGCTGCTCTAATTGGATAATTTCCTTCTGCAGCTATTCGAGCCACTATACGTGAAACTCCACCACCATCTATAGTCGGGTGAGAATGTATACAGGCCAAAATAATCACTTGACTGTTCTACTTTTTATAGCTACTAGCAATTCGAATACTCGNCTTACCCTTCCCTAGATTCGCCAAAAACGGGAACTTCTCATTCTCTAACAACATGCCGAATAAGGATTCAGGTTCGTTCATCTTTTCATCTCAACAAAAAACGACAAACGATCCATTTATCTTTCGAAATTACAAAATACCCCCTCGAAATACTTATAAACACACCATCGATCGATTTCCATCCTTTGAGGGTGCAATTGAAAATAAAAACAAATATCGAGGGCCAATTTATAATCAGGGCTAAAACATATTTTACCCTTTTTAGTTTAGTTGAGGTGATTTCACTAATGGTGATGTGATGTATGACTGATGAATTTTCAGAAAAGAGAGCAACCTCACCAAATCAGTTCCCAATTGTGCGTTCTGTTTCACATTCAACTAAGCTAACAACTCCAAAAAGCTCAAATTCGAGCACCCAAAATGCTTCATTTGGAAGACAATCGGTATACACTGTCAAATTACTATTATCTTTTTTTGTTTTTCTATTTAATCTTTATTTTTTGTAGTTATTTTGGATCTGTATTGTTTGAATATGGCAGTATGTATCTGAATCTCGAAAATCAGCTTCCATACGGGTTCGTTTTGGGAAGGAAAGTTCGAGTGAAAACGAGCAATATCCAAACAAAAGCAAACATCTGCTCAAATCTTTACTCAGTCGACGCAAGTCGAAGAAAGATGATACTTTATATACTTATTTGGATGAATATTAGTGAATATTATTGGGGGCATATTTTTTCTTCACCATATTTTACCACAAATGTAATTTATTAGAAACATGCTAATTGATATTGATTGGAGAATGGAACAATTACTTTCTATAGAAGTTCAGTCTGTTAACAAAAAAACTCAAATTATCTTTTGAAAATTTGCAAGTAGCTCCTTAAGATTGTCGAACAATATAGAGGTTTGTAATTTGGGAAATGCCATTTTCTTGTGGACTGTATTTGCAAAATAGAATAGCTTCAGGATATTCTCCATAATGTTGCAGAACAATATATGTTAAAAGAGAGAATTACAGATATGAATGGATCTCTTAAATGTATACTATTGAGACTTTCAGCAAAATAATTAGTTGGAAAACATCAATGAGTACTAAAATAGTCTAATTAAGAGAGAATTACAGATATGAATGGATCTCTAAATGTATACTATTGAGACTTTCAGCTAAATAATTAGTTTGAAAACACCAATGAGTACTAAAATAGTCTAAATTAAGAGAGAATTATAGATATGAATGGATCTCTTAAATGTACTATTGAGACTTTAGCAAAATAATTAGTTGGAGAATATAAATGAGTAATAAAATAGTCTAAAATACAGAAACTGCGAATCGCAAGGTTACAAGTGAATATGTCTCCACAGGTACACTTGAAAATTCAAAATCGTCACAATTTTATCTCTTTACCAAACTCTTCAACCGTCTTTGTGGCAAGCGTAAGAATATCCACAAATGCACTGTAAGATGCACGAAGGAATCTTGCTTCGATTGCCTCAAAGCGACTGTACAACATAAAAGAAGGAAAAAGTATCGAGCCAATTCAGAATCATTTGCAGTTAGACATTTTTTTTTTATAATTTTATTTGAAAAAATGTGTGCTCAACAATGTAGCTCTCAGCAAAGGGGAATGAATGCACTTTGTTTTTGAGACATTAACGAGAAAATATAGTACGGTTAGAAAAAACATACATATTTCCCCTCAAAATCAAGCAAGAAAACAAATATAGTGATGTAGAGCACAAAATACACGGAAAAAGGAACTCACACGGAAAGCTTTCCACCTGAAACTGACATCTCCCTTTTCACCTTATCGGGTTGCAACTGTTATACCCAAAAATAAATAAATAAATAAAAATAAAAATAGACAACATCAAACTATCGAAGTTAATTGCAAGAGCAAAAGCTGCAAGAATATGGTAGCTCACTAGCTTGTAATGTTACCTCTTTATCTACGGCCAATGCAGCATAAACCATGCGGGCAATTTCTTCAGTATCATAATCTACCTCTAAGTTGCTGTTTAACATATAAAAAGAAAAACAACACAATGCAACACAAAAAACATAAGAAACCTACATTTTGGTAAGAAAATTACATCTTGGTGAAACATGATACAAAATAACAACAAAAACTTTCCAATTTTTTCCTCTATTTCATAAAAATGGACATTACACAACCGAATTTCAATTTCGTTACATATAGTGAACAACACGCAGTTCGGTTAGTACTTACTCCTCATTTGAATCTATACCTTTTACCACCCATGTGAAAACATATTGAAAGAGGTAAAATTGCTTCATTCTTGAACATGAACCAATCTTCAAAATTAGAACACCAATACGGCAGCAAATCATATCGCTAAAGTTCTGAAAT